CCCGCCACAAATCGCAAGTGGAAGGGGAGTGTGGGTTGTAGGGTGCGGGGAAGGAGGGTGTGGGGTGCGGGGAAGGGGGGTGCGGAGAACGGAAATACGGGAAGGGAGGTGTAAGTTTAGGAATTTTATTTTTTTTAAGGGTAATTTAGACATTTTATATATTTTTTTTTAAAAAGGGGGTGTGTTTATACGAGAGTGGAGGTGTGTTTATCATCTGCCTTACAAAATAGCCAGAAACCCCAAAAATAAAAATATAAAAACAAAAATAGAAATTATGTGAATACTATTCCGAATAAAATGAATATATAAACCCTTTCAAGTTTCAAGTCACCATTCATGTTAGTAAACTACTACAATTACCTAGTGGTGAGTAGTGGAAAGTAAGAATAATATGTATATTGTCTTAAGTTCAGAACTTGTTGTTATTGTAATTTCTACTAATAAAAAAATTTATTGCAATTTAAAAAAACACAAGGACAGTAGGAGTAAAAGGAAAGCTGAGTAATTTCACAATATATGACGATGATTAAATTGTTTATTATTAACGTATATTGATACTTAACATGTTTCTATTAAATTTCTTCCCTTTCATTTTTCAAACAAATAAAATTTCTATCTATTTCTTTTTACACTCTTGATTAAAATCTTTCTTCTCTATCCCTCCTCTAAACTAAAACGACCCCGAAGAGTTTATCTAGCACCAGTGTGCAATAATATTCATGTCTTGCAACTCTCTTCGTACATAGTGTGATCCGAGTCCAATTTAAGAATAAAATATCAGAGTAAAACATTCTTTGTACGTACATATATTATTTTTTATTCGACACAAACAAATAATACATGATAAAAACAGAGCTTTTATTAATTTATTGAATCTTTTCATCATACAAATGTTTGAATTGTTTCAGCAAACATAATTTCCTTAGCTAATGACTTCGAACGTATGCAATCTTTTACAAGGATTCTCATTAGATCTCGTTACCAACTAGTAAATTTAGCAGAAGATCAATATAATTTTATATATACTGCAGAGTGCATGATATATATTATGCACAACACAACACCGGTGCCCTTCCAAAAGGAAAATGAAAGTTATTCAGAGTCGACGATGCACAGCTTTAATTTCCCAATCAGGACTTTAACCCCGCGAGCTTTTTGGTTGATCCTCTCTTTCAGGACAAAGCTATCCACATATGGTTGAGGAACTTTCGATGGGTTTGCTAATTGCAACATGGTATTTTAATGAAGGCTTTAATTAGTTTTTCATTAATTCCCCTTCATGCACCGCCACAATAACCATTTGATGATGCCTTCTGCACATGGATTGTGATTCTTTCATTTGTTGGAGGCTGACATGGGCATGCTAAGGCTATGAACCTTGGAACCTCATCTCCTGGCATCAGAACGGGCAAGCTCTCACCTCCCTTATGCTTCAGCATCTAAACACAATTAAACAAATCCCATTAATACTTAATTTCCTTACACGATAATCAAAACAAAACAAAAAAAAGAAATTTAAAACGTAATCAATGGCATGAGGGTGATAAACTGATAATATTGATATGATGGATTAGTAAATGATCAGATACTTTGCTTTCATATATTATGCAGATTGTCTATTTAATGAAAAATTTTGTGTTGGATTTTTATCTTATGCCATAATCTTTTAGGTCAATGACAATTATATTATCATGATATTTTTTTTGGCGATAATTAGTAAAAAGAATTTTTGAGAGTGTGTGAGGAAGAGAAGTGGAAGTGGTTACCAAGACAGGAAAGCCCGGTTTGTGATGAGGGGGAGTTAAGTGTGGTGGTGTGTGAGGGTCATGAGTGTTGATAACTCCAGAAAAAGGAAACATGGGTTGGAGCTTTTCCCAATGCAAGCAGCAGCAAAAGAAGCAGCACATGAACAATAACAAGACAACGAGAAGAGCTAAACCAAGAGGAAACCCAATAGACACTCCACTTGATGTGTCCTCAATCTCCATTTTTTGTTCTCTCTCATTTAACATGAACCAAGGGAGCATGGGAAGCATCATATTAATAAGAAAGAAAGAGACGTGGAAACTTTACTTTGGATTGATTGGGTAGTTGACTCTGGTGCACTTACTAGTTAGTGGAGTGTGACACATTTATTATATAGATGGGTGTTTGATGCGACTTGGAATGAGAGTAGGTGGAGGTACATTTTCCGTTTGGTACGGAAAGGAAATTGTTCTACTTCTAACATTACATGAACAATCATATTTTTACAGTTATAATTCTCATTCTTTTATACTGCTAGTAATATGACCTTCCTAAGTGCTAACTACGACCGTAAGAAATGGAAAACAATCAATTTAGATTAATTTTGGCAACTATGTTTTTCTTTATTGGTCACTGAAATATATTATTAACATACGTGGTTTAATTGCAGTGAACAAAAACATACGTAGTTTGTTACTTATATTTCATAGAATGAACCAAGTGAGATGGAGTTATACATTTTTAATTATATATATATATAACATAAAATGATAACTATTTCAATTTCATCGGTTGGAGATTTGGCAAACATACAGGAGAACGTACTTCAATTCATAATTTGTTAAAAACGTTGAGCACATATGTACTATTAATTGTAAACTCGTACTATTAGTGGACTGAATGTCAGTTCCATATCAGTACATCAATGCAAAATTTCATAAAAATAAAATATTACTCTTAATAACTGTCATTGGATATTGTGAGCTTATAAAAATATTTTTTTTTGTTAAAAGTTGTAAAAACACACCAATCCGGTATTTATCTTTTAATATAATTTATTTTACATTTAAAATTATGATTCAAATTTTGACTCCAAACATAACATACTACCATTTATATAAATCTACGTGGATTTATCCTTGATTACTAGTTATTAGTTATTATCTTTTTATCCCTTTGAAAAAATTAGAAGAATTATTAGTATGTCAATATCATATAAATTTATTAAAAGATTTAATGATCGTGCATTTTCGATGTAAAAAAAAACAACATACTAACAATCAATAAAAGTCATTTTTTATGATTTTTATTAAGCCAATCATTATAAATGTTAAATTATTCATCATATATGATGATGTGTAATTAGATGATAATATAGAACTACTTTACATTGTGGATATTTATTTTATTTTTGTCTTTATTAAATAGTAAGTTTAATATATCATTTGTCATTGAATTTTAAGTGTTTTAAATTAGGTCTTTAAATTTTAAAAAACTATAATTGGACCCTTCATCTTTTAATTTTTGTAATTCAGTTAATAGAATAAGAAACTTGTTTATAATTCATTAAATGTTACAAAATATTGTTTATATATATATATATATATATATATATATATATATATATATATATCTATATCTAAGTATATACATATTAAAAATATTTTGTGAAGTTTCACGAATCGTAAATAAATTTTTAAGTATAAAGACTAAATTAAGAAATATATATTATTTAAATATTTTTTTAGTGTCACTAATTGAGGTATTTATATGCAATTTTTTCAGCCACTCTATTATAACAAATATTTAAATAACATGAATAAAATATTAATTTGTAAAGGTGACAAATTTTTTTTTCTTCGTAAAATGGACATTGAAAGTTCTAAAGTCATGCATAAAACTATAATATATTTTTCCGTTAATAAATTTATGACAAATAATTAATCTCATGCAAAGTAGATATTTAACTTAAAGAATGAATATTTAAACAAAGGTAATTATTTAAGTTAATCAATTAAAAATCAATTATATGATTTAGTCAATTTATTATAAAAAAAACTATTTCAACCATTTATTATGCTTTTTATCATTTTATATTGTTTGATAAAATTTTGAAAATTTACTTAAAATAGGTAAGTGGTAAACATTTGAATAAAAATACAAGAGACAGGTTTAACCATTTTAAATCGTGTTTTAAAACGAAAAAGATAGATATGTAAATCAGTAAGAAACTTGGGCTCAATTTTTATAAATTTGACTCACTTTCATGGTGGCTATTAGTATTAGAACACTTGTTAATGATTATGAATGAATGACGATAGCATATGGTTTGTGAGTATTAAGTTTAAAAATGAAAAAGTAACAAATTAATAGAGTAATTAACTATGCATGCATCAAGTAAAAAAAAAAACCTTAAACGAGACTAATAAGCGCATATCAGACCAAGAAAAATAAAGAGAAAAATATGAAAAAGGTAGTGATAAAACAAAGAAAATCTATATTAAAAAAAACATTAGAATAAAAAAGAAAATGTGTAAAATATAATATAAAAAAAAGTGAGAAAAAAATGTCAAAATAACAATAGACACATCCTTATCCTAGCGAAAGAAGTGAATGGTTTGACACGATGCATTTGGTGAGCATGAAAAAGATGGAAAATGTTTTATCACATTCGGATTCGCACCACATTCTTGGATTCTGTGGTCAGCTCCTAGTTTAATTAAATTTAATGAGGCTCTCTATATATAGACAGAATTAGCAAATCGCGATAAGACACTGAAATTTCAAATATAATATGTTACCACAATTAAGGGTGCTTTCGCATAAAGTCTTCCACTTTCAATGGTACATAAATGGGATAATAATGTCGACCCACCCAACCATGGTGGGTGGTGTACCATTGTTAAGCACGGATGCTTATAAAGCTATATTTTTCAGCAACGGAACCTATCCCACAACCCTAAAAATATGTTGCATGTAGTCAAAATCAAACTTGGGCTTTTTTAAATAATTTGTAATTTGTGTTTAATAATGCTTAAATTTTATTTATATTATAATATTTTAATGTTGCCGGAAAAAAAGTGAGTACTTTAGAAATAGTTAGAGTAAAATAATGGATAGTTTAGATAACAGTTAAAGAATAAAGTAGTCTAACAAAAAGTGAAAATTAAGAAGGGAGAATTTCTTTTATTATAGTTTGACATGAGAGTATGAAAAAGAATAGTGAATAGTTTAAAAAGTAAGTAAAGGATAAAAAAAATGAGTAATTTAGATACTCGTTAAAAGTTAAAGATGGCTATTAAATATAGAGATAATAAAGGGTATTTTCTCTACTATAATTATGAATTATAGATTAACAATGCAAAATGGTTAATTTGATATGTGAGTATAAAAAAAAAATATAATTTAGAAAGTAGTAAAATGATAATTTAGATAGCGTAAGTTTATTTACAAACTATTCAATGCTATTGAATGTGATTATAGTAGTAAAATGTTGATTTATTTTTTATTAATGAAAAAGATTATAAAGACGACAAGAAATTTGAACACAAAAATTGTATGTATATACTTTACTCATCTACTATTAAGTTAATAAAGTTAATTGTAGTAGTTTATAAAAAAAGTTTGAGTGACCTTAAGTATAATAGTTAAAGGGTAAAGTGTTTAATAAAAAGTTGAGAAAAAAAGCATTTCCATTATTGATTATATAGACTAACAATTTAATACTGCACCAATTTTTTTTTTAACAATTTAATATAGTTGGGGTAAAAAAAATTAATATATAGTTTATTTCACAAGAGAGAATGAAAAACAACGATGGGTAAATTGCGCGATAGTTAAAAATAACATAATGAATGGTTTTTGGACAACAAATAATGGGTAGTTTAGACTATAGTTATAAAAAAATCGTGTAATAAAAGGAGAACAATATTTTTTTGTTAAAAAAAAAACAAAGGGAGTATTCCAATATTGTATTTATCTCTGTAGACTAAGGAGTTCTAAGTGTAACTTACAATACCTTAGTAAGTGTAGAAAATATTTGTATCCTCTCTGTGAGAGTAAACCAAACACTCAAACCAAATCATCTATCTATCATTGAGTAAGCCTGAAGAGGCTAGGAAAAGAATACTTGTATAAGCCTGGAGAGACTTGTCAAAGAATATTCACTGAGAGCCTAAAGAGGCTGAACAAAGAATACTAGAGATAGTGAGTGAAGCTAGCCAACTAGGATTGGTTGATAATACTCGGGACCAAGAGTGGTCGAGAATACTCATTGAAAGCCTGAAGAGGCTGAACAAAGAATACTAAAGATAGTGAGTGAAGCTAGCCAACCAGGAGTGGTTGATAATACTCGGGATTAGGAGTGGTCGAGAATACTCACTGAGAGCCTGAAGAGGCGAGGCTGAACAAAGAATACTAGAGATAGTGAGTGAAGCTAGCCAACCAGGAGTGGTTGATAATACTCGGGATCAGTAGTGGTCGAGAATACTTACTGAAAACCTGAAGAGGCTGAACAAACAATACTAGCGCTGACAAGTAAAATTGGCGGGCCATAAGTGGTCAACAATACTTGACAAACTAGAAATGGTGATAATACTTGTACTTCATTGAATATCTAGTTGAACCCTTCAATTGAAGGAGACTGGACGTAACTCAGTCTGAGCAAACTAGTATAAAAATCCTTACACTGCTTACTTACGTTTCAGACGCAAGTTCAGTTAACTGATATATTATATTGAAAACTTCATCCAATGCTTAATTTTCACTATGATTCTTTTCAGACGTAAAATATACGTGCTTAACTTAATATTTCTTAAGAAACATTTTCTTTGTGCAGACGAAAAACTTTCAAACGGGAAATATTTTGTTAAGTCAATCCTGCACAATCTTTAAGTATTCAAAATAATTTTTATTGGACGAAAAAGAATCTTTCTGCCAAAACGATTTCAAAATTTCCTCGTTCATGTACACACATATTTAACCTCCCTTCTATGTGTTTTTCATCTAACTTCATGGGCAATCTGATCTAAATTTTCGCCCTCATGCGCAAGTGATCCTCCAAATCCGTAGCCATTTGGAGAAGTGTTAGACTGTCTTGGTGACACATACTCCTTGTGATTCCAATTCTATTGCTGATATCCTTGCCAAACTCAGGGGAAAGTCTTCTTGGAAGCTAACCACATGTTGTGCTAGATAGCTTCTCCCTTGATTTAGCCTTCCTTTAGTTGGCTTTTTTCCTTTCTCTTGTCTTTGTTTCTTGTTCTTTCGCTTTCTTATTATACC